GTCCTCGCCCTGCTCCTCGTCGTGGTCCTCGCCGTGCTCTTGGCGGTCTTTGCCCTGCTTCTCGTGGTACTCGCCCTGCTTCTCGTGGTCCTCGTCCTGCTCTGCGACGGCCGTCGCTGGAGCAGCGAGGTATATTCAATAAGAGTGCAAACTGTTCTTAGTGCGTTTAAAATCAAACAATCGTAAACATCACAGTTGAATAGTAGTGTAAATTATCAGGTCGTTGGTTTGCGTTTAAAAAATGCTAGTGTGCGGGATCGTTCTTCCTGTGTAACAATCGAGTTACAGCCTGCTTGTCATTTTACAAATGCAGTTATTACCTAAAAAACAACGAAAAGTTTGTGCAGAAAATTCAAAAATGAACGGTACATTATTGTGTACTGGACCCAGAAAGTAAAACACAATTTTCTCAAGCGAATTTGCAGTTACAGCGTTTGCCGCTGCTGGCGTCATTCCGTTGTTTTGACCAATTATTTGTTTTTTTGTTTGTTTTTTTGCACCCTCTAACCGCCTGGACTGTACTTTACTGGAAAGCAAAGGGTGCCCATCTGAGGTGGGAGTGATAGGATGGCAAGAGGGAGAGGGGGGGGGGGGGGGGGGTCGCGGAACTGGCTGCACTAAGGGTTCCTGATGGAGGCGCCGCGACGTCGCCGAAGCAGTGTTACCAACGCTGGCAGGCCCCTGCCCCGCTCGAATTGAAAGCGGTTCATGACAAGCTCCCGGAGCCGCGCCCACCGCGCCCGTCATTATCCCGACTTTTTACCCCGAATACATTTTCTAGACAGACGGGTGGCATTACCGCTTCGTCATAGGTGGACCTTTTTGTGTGTGTCAAGTCGCGCCACGCCCGCGCCACTCCCGTTCAAACGAACCAACCAACGTCATTTGGCCAACGCCATCGTCGAGTTTTACAGTTATTTCCTACAACTCCTCTTTTTTTACCCTTTCTATTTTGCCTCTCTTCTCCCCCGCGCGCGCTTCGGGCGCGTGCCGAAAAGAACGGCAGCGGGATTGATAAAAAGGGCTGCTGCTGATGGCGGGCGGAGTAACAGGACACCGGGAGGACACATACTTGAGGGAGTAGCAGACTACCTACTCTGTTTTGTGTTTCTCTCTTGTTGCGCCCCCAGGAGTGAGCTGCCGAATATCTGCCGCAACTTTTCAAATTTTCGAACCATATTTCGTTTTTGTTTGAGAGGAGGATCAAAAAGAAATTTTAGACAATGAAATACTAATGTTTTTATTTTTTGTTTTCACAGGTCCCTTCAAGAAGTCACGCGCTACGCGGCACAGTACTGAACGGGCACCAAACGGCCCCTACCCCAACAGCTGCCCTGCGAGCCGCTGGCCGGCTCCTCCCGCTCTCCGCCTCCAGTGGCTGTCTTTACCCATAATTTTAAGTAGCCCGTTTTGATAAAGATGCGGTTTGATAAGGTTAATAAAGATTCGTTTGCCGTCTTTGCCTTTCCTTTTAAGAGTAGGACAAAGATGTCACAAAATTTTAAATCTTAACCACATCACCCTGAAACATACAACTGCACCCAGAAAACGTCATTCTAGCTTTTAGTATGTCAACGTACTAATATGATACTCTAATTAGAAACTCTAAAGAACATACTAATGTTTAGAGGATGAACATACTATTCCAAAACTCTTAACTCAAATACTAATGTTTAGGGTATTAACCTACTAATGCTACAAATCTTGTGGGCCGCTAGTCACTGCCGCTAGATGGCGTCACGGTCAGCGCCCGTCTCTTACACCGTATTTTGCATTTAACTAAAATTTTGACATGAAACTAAAATGAATTTTACGTTGTGTGCTCTATAAGACAATGACCCTTAGGGAACATGCAAGTTTGTGATAAAAAGTCAACCATGCGCCAAAACAATTGGTTTAACATCAACGCGCGCAGGGTCCCCGCTAACTCTCCTTAGTTGGGTCTGGCAACGGTTTCACCTATGGTTGTAGAGTGTACTACGCGCTGCACCATTTTTGTACTGGTGATGAAGTGGGTGGCTGATCCATTTCACTTTGCTCCGTAAGGGACATTTACGGAATACAGTAAAAACTCGTTTTCTCATTTAAAATACACAAACGTCTAATTATCTGCTGACGATGGCCGAGTCGGTATTCTTCTTTTCTTAGATTAGGGGGCTAACGCACTAAAGATTAGTATGTCACATACTAACCAAACATACTAAACTTTAGAATGTATACTAAAGAATAGTATACATACTCGGTTCGTATTATAGGAAGCAATCCACCTAAACATTAGTAAATTATTCTTGAATCAAGAATGGCGTTTTCTGGGTGTATCATTCGAAAAGGAGGAACGTAGTTTGAGCTGATCTCTAACCTCAAAACCAAGCTGCGAGCGGCTTGTTCAAGGGAATTCCTCATGGCTGTTTGTCTATGCATATTAATCTGCTCGCGTGCGAAATAAAATGGTTAGAGTCGTCAGCTGGTTGCCGTGCGGTTTTTCGTCGGCACCTTGTTACTTCGCTGCTGATTAGCTGCGGTGTCTCAGATCTGGTCGCCGCATGTGTTCCAGTCGCATGAGCCGCAGCCGCAACGATTGCTAGGTCTTTCAGCGAAGAAATAGTACCTCTGCGCCTGCCTATAAGAGTGGAAAAAATATTTATTTTTCTTTTGTTTTGTTTCTAGTTTAGACTAACGTATTGCCGTTTTGACGTTTGAAAAGATTACCACCAACGGCAGTGGCATGGCGAATGGTGACAGTCGTGTCTCATTACAGACTAGGCGGCTTCCTTTGGGCTGTGGATTTGTGGTTGTGTTGAGTTTAATAAGGAAGGGAGCTCTGTGTCGTGAGGCGACGATTATGTTAGGGTGATTATAAACAACAATTTATTCTTTAGCACACTTACGAGGGTGTGCGGTGTAGAAAAGAATAAGTATAA